GAGGACTGACTCTTGGTGAAATGGCTGGAAATTGTTTACAGTGCTGCAGATGTATTCACCCCTTGACATCTTATATTCGCACTAACCTGTATCTTCAGTTTGCTTATTCTCTTACTTGGACCGTTACGCAGTAATGCCTGATCCTATATCGATTTTGATGATTATCCTCTCACATAATTTTGTCTACTTTAATATCAGCCTTTTCCTATCCAATTGTTCTTCGTGTACTACAGTAAAGTGCGGCAACTTGAGATAATGGACCTGTGTGCGGGGCTGTACGTTGATTTTTTTCAGTCAGTCAGTCATAATTATATGTAGCAGGTTTCATTGCAAAGAAAATAATGAAGCACTGACTGAAGTATTATCTACCTTGGTTCACAAAAAGGTCAACACACTTTTTATGAACTCTATTACAAATTTCATACTTTAACCTCCCTTCCCACTTTCTTTTACCTTACCTCCGTGATTTCGTTGACAAACACTTATTTTTTATGCCCTTCTTTATTTATACTATTACCGGTACTCATTTCCAACCCTTACATAATTCCCACCTGTTACTCTTTATTTTTTGTTGTATTCACATGATTTTTCAACTTAATTCAAGACAATTCATCTCTACATAGTGAATGTTTGATTCCTAATCAGATAACATGCACACACCCCACATGCGCGCGCGCATATGTATGGATATAAATGAGTCATTATAGCCAGATTCGGCCACCATGTACCGTGGTGGTTCTGTTCATATTAATTTCATTGCACAACTCAGGCTAAACTGATAAGTACTCAAGCTAACAAAAACATATATCCGTTTGATTTGATCTCGACCGACACATAACAGCATTTGATACTTTAATAACTTTACTATATGCCTATCTAAAACAATTAGTTCCCTTTATAAACTTCGACGAAACAATAAGAAGACGTAAATTATCTGAACCGTGTAATGTACTTGTGCAACACATTTCGAACTATCTGATCACACACGTACTTGTCATAGGTATTTATATAAAAACTCATGAAGATAAGGGATGAGAAAATAAAAAGAGGTCAGGTAGGAAGGCTGACTTAAAGGCCGAATAACAATGAAAATCAATAGAGCGAAAAAATAATAGTACATCGAACTTGGTCTTCAATAGTTGAATTCACCAAGGAAGATTTAATGTGACAACAAATTGTTTATGAACACGTAAAGGTGGTTTCAACTTCCTAATAGCTAAGGCTTCAACATTTCAGGATCCCTCTCCAACAAGTTTTGTAAATAGGTGTAAAGGAAGTAACCACATCAATCTTGTGACCTGTCTCAACGATATGTTTGGCGATCGAAGAACTTGGACGTCAGCTACCAACATTTATAGGTTCAGATGATTTAATTTACTTCTGAAGCCACTTTGGAATATGTTTCGAGGCCCTTACTCGCATGGATCTATTAGTCCTTTGTACGGAAGGCTGATGAAGACATCCTTCTTTGGGACTGACTGTTGCTCTAGTTTTGGCGCTCTGGTAATTTTGTTCTGCCTGATAAATGTTGATGGATAGTTATTTTCCAACAAAATATCGGTCAGTGTTCCTCTTTCATCTTCTAAAGTATCCTCGGTGCATATTCGTTGAATTCTGCTGAATAAGCACCTTACTAACGTTCGCTTGTACTGAACTGGGCAAAAGCTATGGTAATTCAGATATTGCCCTGTCCATGTAGGTTTTCTGTAGATAGATCGTTTTATGGATCCATCCTGCCTTCGACTAATTAATATATCTGGGAACGGCAAGCAGTCATCTTCCTCTCTTACACATGTCAAGGATATGCTGTTCTGTACTTCGTTCAGTCGGTTTAGAATTGAAGTAGTCTGATTTGAGTTTTCACAAATAATCAGGATATCGTCAACATATCTCCGATACAGATGGGCTTGGTCTACTAAGTTCTTGGATAAGTTCTCAACGTGTGACATAAATATGTCGGTTAGAAGGGAACCTACAGGATTTCCCATAGCGGCACCATCAACCTGGCGGAAACGTTCACCCTCAAAGGTGAATTTAATATTGTTTGCACATAAAAGTAGATGTGGGAATCGGGATTCAGTTGGTTTCAGCAGGGCGAATTTTAGAGAACTTAATAGACCAAGCCCATCTGTATCGGAGATATGTTGATGATATCCTGATTATTTGTGAAAACTCAAATCAGACTACTTCAATTCTAAACCGACTGAACGAAGTACAGAACAGCATATCCTTGACATGTGTAAGAGAGGAAGATGACTGCTTGCCGTTCCCAGATATATTAATTAGTCGAAGGCAGGATGGATCCATAAAACGATCTATCTACAGAAAACCTACATGGACAGGGCAATATCTGAATTACCATAGCTTTTGCCCAGTTCAGTACAAGCGAACGTTAGTAAGGTGCTTATTCAGCAGAATTCAACGAATATGCACCGAGGATACTTTAGAAGATGAAAGAGGAACACTGACCGATATTTTGTTGGAAAATAACTATCCATCAACATTTATCAGGCAGAACAAAATTACCAGAGCGCCAAAACTAGAGCAACAGTCAGTCCCAAAGAAGGATGTCTTCATCAGCCTTCCGTACAAAGGACTAATAGATCCATGCGAGTAAGGGCCTCGAAACATATTCCAAAGTGGCTTCAGAAGTAAATTAAATCATCTGAACCTATAAATGTTGGTAGCTGACGTCCAAGTTCTTCGATCGCCAAACATATCGTTGAGACAGGTCACAAGATTGATGTGGTTACTTCCTTTACACCTATTTACAAAACTTGTTGGAGAGGGATCCTGAAATGTTGAAGCCTTAGCTATTAGGAAGTTGAAACCACCTTTACGTGTTCATAAACAATTTGTTGTCACATTAAATCTTCCTTGGTGAATTCAACTATTGAAGACCAAGTTCGATGTACTATTATTTTTTCGCTCTATTGATTTTCATTGTTATTCGGCCTTTAAGTCAGCCTTCCTACCTGACCTCTTTTTATTTTCTCATCCCTTATCTTCATGAGTTTTTATATAAATACCTATGACAAGTACGTGTGTGATCAGATAGTTCGAAATGTGTTGCACAAGTACATTACACGGTTCAGACAATTTACGTCTTCTTATTGTTTCGTCGAAGTTTATGCCTATCACTGGCTATCGCATTTCACTTATTCTCTTGAATTTATAACTTCAGAGCCTGACGAGAAAGTTAGTGAACACAGTTCTCCCCTCAAATTACTCATGTTTTCAATGATCTACGGCGATGCTTTAACTTTTGCAAATTACTTAAATCTACTGGTCGAAGTGAAAGAGCATGCTTGGGGATTTTCATATTTTATTATCTTCAAGAATTTCCAGCATCTATGAACTACAAGGAGGCAAACATAGACATAAAAGTCCGCAACATCATCAGACTACCGTCTGATTACAACTGTGCAGCCCTGTTATCCTGAGTACGAGAAAAAACAAAGTGCAATTAAAGACTAAATGCGAATTTGTGCACGAGGCAGTGAGTGACGCCTCTTGTGCGAGGGCTTGTGATAATACCTGGCTGCTCAAACATCAGTAAGCAAAGCGGCGTTCGAACCTGTGAACCACTGGTAGAAAGTCAAATGACTAAACGGATGGGCCACAGCTTCTGAGTAATAACTAATTTCTCCTAGCTGTCGTTTTCAATCTGAAACAAGTAAACAATGGTATAAACGGCTGAATGTCAATTCAACAAAGGCTATTCAGAATACTTTTATGAAAGACTTCAACAGAAAGTACAAGGCAAAGACATTTTAGTCTTGCAAGTAACGGAAACGTTTGGTGCCAAAAAATAATGTATGGAAATATATAAGATCAGTTCACCCTGAGAAGTATCAACTGACAACTTATGTGCAGAAATACAGATACTTATATCATCCAATGACGAGGTAAAAAGAAGTATAGGTGCAGCAAAACCGCAAGATAAAAATGAAGCTGGTTGGGAACAAGGCAGCCCAAATGCTCACATTAGTGCATGCACAGCACAGTGCTGTTTATGTATATTTGCCCTTGCTAGTCTTTTAAAACATACCCATAATACGAAGGAACAGGATACATAAACAGCGTTAGTAGGCGAAATATACAGACCTTTGGAGAGGATAAGGATTCACTTTGATCTTCGAATATGGAGAACAGAAAGCCATGATACTGTCAGTTCATTTTCAAAAAATCTTTAGGTTTGTTTCGTTTTATTCCGAATGAACCAATTTACTACGTGGGTACCACTTAAAAAGGTAGTGTCGGATTACAGCACCATTCACTGCCGAATCATGCCTAAATTGTGTCAACAAAGGTTAAGCACAGAGCATAGAAGGTTCGACTATATCTTAGCAGATATTTGTAGGTGGGCTACATGTTTAATACATGAACTCGGAACAATTACCTGAGGGAATTTGGCTGGAAAGTTTTAAAAAACGGTTTGTCTGAGTATCAGCAACCCGGTTGAAGCCCTTGGCAAAGCACTTTGACCTGGATCTTTTGTAAACGCCTCCAAGGAAAGATTGCATCTTCAGCATACTCAAAAAGATAAGAATTAATATGGAAAGTGAAACTGAACACGACTAAAATAGGGTTGACGCAGGAAGTTTGGACCTAATTTATTAACTTCCTCATTTGATATTTCCAAGAGAAACAAAATTACTGAACGTATGATATATCTGACGAACAAAGTACCATGGAATTATATACTGTCAGTGTCCAGAAAAAGGAGGACTTGCAAGTTCTACTCATGCAACATTCCCGTTGACTTCAAATCCAAGCCATGCATTGCCCACAGGCTTTCTTCAAAAGTGGCCACGCGTTTACGCGACACAAATTAGTATGTAATACGGAAAATGGTACATGCATAGAATGTTAAATGCAAAGCAATTTTTAGAAAATCAAACTATCTATATCAGTAGCTTTCAACTTAATCAACGCAGTGACTGATTAAATCCAGAACAGTGTGCCCTAATGATAGTCCACCAATTCACCTTAGTTACCTTAAGTATCCCAGATGCAGTATAAAAAAACGGTTACCGTAACGGCAAACTCAATTCAACGCTGCTAACTAAGATAAGATTTAGTCGATACAAACAAACAAACGTAATGCATTGAAACATTGCATGTTAAAAACATGCTTGTTGAAGAAATGGCAATCAAATGATTCTTGTTTTTAGGTCCCTCGCACTGAAAATTATCCTTTGCTCATAGTTGTCAAAGTTCTTCCAGTGCAAAATCTCCTTAGGGTACAAAGATATTTATTATATATCATCTCTTTCCTGATACTGTTGCTTCCAGTGGATCGTAGGCGACCTGATATACTTTGGCCAGATTCTCTTCTATCCTTCTACAGGGGGCATCATCAAGGAGGATGACGCTGCTCTTCACTGTTAACTTCTAAGACCACATCCAACATACATTTTTCACATGTCTGTAATATTCTTATCCTAATTCGAGTGGATAGAAGTGGGAGTGTTTTGACATTAGGTTTTGTTTGGCTAGAATCCGAATTTGTGTTTGTCACAGACAGCTCTGTACAAGGAAGTAGGTCAATCTTTGTCATTAAGATAATATTTGAGTGGGGCCTAAATCCCGTGAAAATATATTCAGGATTTGTCCTGGTGCGAACTTGACAGACGCAAAGGCCAATCACTAATTATTCGGACATGTTATATGCCCACGAATACAAGACCAAGGAAGAGCACGATAGCGTAGTCGGATAGAATAGTATATTTGGATAGTTGTGCTAAAATACCGATGCGTTCCACCTAACTGGCTAGAGAGTCGAATACGTGCAGTGCAACTTAACACGACAGCGTGCCAAATGGCCAGGATGCTTGACCGGGTGCCCTCAGCTTAGCGAGTCCAGTTAAACTATCAAGGTCAGCGTCAACGTCGAAAGTCGTCAAACCCTAGGCTATTGATTTTGGGGAAGTGTGTGACGCTACATATATGAAGTAGTAGTGGTTAGTCTAGGTAATGCAGCTGGTGGATTTGGTGGGGCTGGCAAAACACAGAAGACCACACACTCTCCGTGCTTGAATTTTCGGCTAATATCTCCCCATACCCAACAAGTTCTTATTCTCTTCTCTGTTGCATTCGAAGTAAGCAGTGCCCAGGTGTCAGTGAACTGCCTACCCAGTCTGTAATGATGTGTGTTGTTCTGGATGCGAGGCGTAATTATTTCACAGACCTTAAATATTAAATTCTAATACCGCTGTCCGATTGCACCAGTCATAACTATTCTTGTCTATCTCAAATTGAACCCAAGTATTTGTGGTCTATATGACCGAAAACATCATGCTTTATAAGAAGTTCATTGTGTTTTCTGCTTAAGAGGCTGCCGTCGCTTGCACGGCACATTTAAATTCAGACAGGTAACTAGAGGTAGGGGTTAGACAGGACCAAGCACCTGGAATTTTCAGTCTACCGCTTACCCCCTGAACTAAATTCTGTTAACTTAGCCATCTGGGGAACGGGACTCAGTTACACCTACATTTTCCCCGGCATTCCTTCGACCATATTCGAGAGAACAGGCGTCACTTTGTTGTAAGGGTGTCTAGTTTTTAGGTAAGCTTTAAGTGATGACGAATTTATTCACTTATCATGTTACCTGTCTCCAGTTTATCTTCACGATGCTTCTAGTGGTTAGTGCCATGGATCAGGTGAACAGTTTAAGTATTACCCACACATTAAGGGATAGTATGCATGATGGTTGAAGAGCACACATATTTAGAATTGATCTACTTGTGGTTTCAGAGTAACTCAGTTGTACACCAGGGACTTTCCGACCTGATCCTGATTTCTGTAAGCTGAGCTAGTGGACAGCACTCGATCGGATACTTTTGTGTGGTTAGGCACGTCTAGGAAACACCCTAAATAGGGCAGGGGAGCCCTCAAGCGAGCTTGCCAAGAATCTCAAAATTTTGAGAGTGAGCTACAGACCGGTTTCCACTGGAAAAGGTCGTACTTCTCCCAACTGGCGAGCACTCGACAACTAATGCCATCATAATAAGTCGGTGCGGGAAGTGACTTGGGCTGGAAACTTCAATTGTTTTTGAACGGCAAATCAGACCCTGAAAGCAGAAATCTGCTTGGCGTGAAGAAATGATGGCGGTACTACTCCTCGATGTTTGGTTGCAGGAAAAGTCTGTGAAATAGGTGAACTCAAGGGAGTTTGAGCTGCACTCCAGTTTAAATGGGACATTTGTATTTAACAGTGATGGGTTTTTCATTTTAGGATCACGAATGAAACTTTCATAATTGGATGACTGTGGTCGTTGTTTACGACACTATAGACTCTGGGGTAATCTTATGCTGGCGAAACAGACTGCAGACTTTTTAGGTCAGATAAAATGTTCGCGAGAAACTTCAGTTAGTGCCTGTGTTTCTGATACGAACAAAAAATAGGCATTAAGATGGCTCTCTGGTGACAAATTTTATTGAATTACCGCTTCCACTCTCGCGCAACTTATGAAGGACCTCGTCAGAAGGTAGACTGAACTTCCGCGCTCAGTCAGACATTGCAGCTCTTTGGTGAAAAACTTTTCAAGTTGCCTTCATAAGTGAGATTGACAGGATTATTATTCAGTTCAATCGTTTATTAGTCGCCGTTTTCGATTACTTTCACTGCCTCTGAGCCCTTTATATGAATGTGACCACCGGACAGTAAACACTGTTTGCTTTTCCATGAACTAGCCTCCTTATGGGGAAATTGTTTATGGTGATCTTATCACATTCGAAGTTGTAGGGGGATTGGCAAAGTTTTTCGAAATCACAGAATCGCATTCAGCCTACCTGTTCAGTTGGTACAAGACTTTTCTGGTCGGAGAATGGTCAGTTAGTGGTGGGTGAAACCGGTCCCCTGCATACTAAAGGTGGAGTAGCAAGGATAGATTGTGCGAATAGTTTCATTAATAACCAGAAACAGGCTCTGATAGGCAACAAAAAACGTGTCCATTAACCTCGTGAAGTGTGAATAATTCCTCCTGGTTTCGCTTTGTTAAGCCTTGGATCTTCCGTTGCCTTCCCTTCTGTCACATCGCTCTGTGGCTGTTCAATACAAGGTCTTGAGATGTCCCAGAACAGGCAGCAGCCGCAGAGTTTTAAGACCAAACTTCAAGCATCTGCCCTGCCAAAAGTAAGATTCTTAGATTGTTCACCCTGAGATGCACTTAACCTGGAGTGCTTCCTTCCCATTTACGTACTTGTCACAGAGCCTCATGAACCGTTGGCGTCACTCGGTTTTGCTGGGGCAGCGAAGATGGTGAGGTTGCTCCGTAGATAACGCGAGATGCCTGATTTTATTGATGTGTCAGAAACTGTATTCTTTAAGCCTAATTTTGATAGTTTGCAGTTTGTTGGCTAGGAAGACGGTATGCTTTCAGCCATCTAATTATGAATCATGAATATTTTATGCAAAATCGTGTAGGATATATTTGCCCTGCGAAAGAAATGGAAGTTATGCTTGCTGAGCAAGGAATGACAGGTGAAGTGGGATTACTGTGGATGCCTCAGTAATGCGTAGGTACCGCTGGTGTCAACATAAACTGCAGCTAGTCCCCATGCCGAAAGAGAAATATATTGCTGCTGGGGTGCGTCACTCCAGATAAATGATACATATTTATATTCCTGAATTTACAGTTGCATCTCAATTTTACGGGTATGATTTCCCCATTTCATGGTGGAAGTCCTTGGTGATGTTGTTTAGTATTTCTAATTCATCCTAGGCACTTGCCGTCATCAGGCTGAAAAGAACATTTTGTGTCACAAACAAATCATGAATACTGGGAGATGGTATGAGTTTTTGCGTTTGTTCACAGGTATAAAGGTTTCTGGAGGGGATGCAGGCGAAAATTCTTCTTACTAGATGTTTAAAAGTGTCTTACAAAGAAAAAAGAGGCAATTCAAAAAACTAATTTCCAGAACAGTGATGCCAACCTGCTTTCTCAAGAATCTTCGTTTGAAAGATCGCGAACAAAGATAGGAACACTACAGCAAACGCTTTGCGACACTAGGACGACTCTTATATCTAAATTAGATGAACTGTCCAGATTAATTTCATAGGCAGTATTGTAGTTCTTTTTTTGAAAGGTTGTAGTCTTGTTTATTTATACCAAATTGATAGCATTTTCACCACGGCCGCCATAACGCTTCATATCGCGCTTGACTTCTTGGTGGGGAGCAGTTGAATTCCGTCTACTTTCAGGGTTGATGTGAAGTTTCACCAGCCTCAGGTGAAATAACAGGTCACTTTTCGTTGAATCGAGGAATGGGGGGATAGTAAAATGCGTAGATACGTGGACAAAATAACTGACAAAGAATGAACGGAATAAAATGACAGGTGTTGTCCCGCATATTTTGTGTGCCACTGTGGACGAAATGGCACCAGGCAACGACTGGGCAGTGAAACGTTGCAGTAACTACACGAGTTTATGTTAAGCAAAGGAATCAGCAGAATCTTGACCATTTAGTTTTCCTGTCGATATTCAAAGGGCTTCGGGCTAGGATCGTCGTATAGCACGTTTCGTATACCTACACCTGCATGATTTAGCTAACACACGAAGGTATCCATTACAAGTCGCATGATTGCGTAGGCGTCGCTTGAAGACTGAGGCAGTGATACTTGAGGGAAGTAGTGATGAAATACTGTAATTTCGACGCACTCGCAAGTTTCCCAGAGTCGGTTTGCAACAAGGAGGGAGAAAATGGTGTGCACAGAACCAAGGAACGGGTGAGTCATTTGCATACACATAAGTGTGCGTTTGTACCCGGAATGTTATGCCTATGTCATGTTTTGGATAAACATGTTTTGTTCATTGAACTTTTGTAATACACTTATGAGGTAAGCTTGAAGGTGCCTTGAATGGTGGCTGCCACAAGTAGAGGGAATAAATCTGCAATTTATTTATAAAAGCGGCGGTAACTGCTACACACCCACAGGGTGTAATATGAAGAGGGCATTCGTTTGCCGGATGAGGCTAAAATCTCACACGTTTAGAAGACCTATAATGCCAGTTATTGTAAGGCGTGATTGTAGTTCGCTTAGCATATTCCGGAT